ATACTGCATAAAAAGACCTTAAAGTCAACCCACAAAAGGAAATAAATAACTACATGCATGCTGCATTTAAGTAGTGGTCCAGGTATGCGGTATGTACTGGTATCTCTCAGTACTGTCATGGGTTGTTAAGGAATGGGTGGCCGCCAAGTCCTTAACAACCTACGAGTCATCAGTTCTCAGTAGGATTCCCCACTAACAGCTGAATGTAAAGAAAAAAAATTGCCGGCAATTAAAAAGTAAAAAAAACAAGGTGCTTTGGGGGAGCCCCTGCATGCCCCAAAGCACCCCCCCCATGTTGAAGGCATGTGGCCTGGTATAGTTTAGGAGGGAGGGCAATTGCTCGCCCCCCCCTTTCCTGACCTGCCGGGCTGCATGCTCGGATAAGGATCTGGTATGGATTTTGGGGTGGACCTCATGCCATATTTAAAAAATATTTGGCCTGGGGTTCCCCTCAAAACCCATACCAGACCCAAAGGGCTTGGTATGGATGGAGGGGGGGACCCCATGCCGCTTTTTGATTATTTTTTAATTGCCAGAAATTTTTTTTTCACATTCAGCTGTCAGTGGGGAACCCCGCTAACATCCCATTTTGGGATTCCAGTTTTGTCACAGGGGAGAAGAAGTCCGTCAACTTATGTGGCACTGGCTGCTGGGAGCCTACTGGGAGGCAACTCTAGAGTGTCAGGTGTAGGAAGTGCTACTCGGAGTAGTGAAAGCTTGTGCCACAGTTGTTCATAGCTGCCACTGACCAGGTCTCAGACCCCGTGCTCCATAGAACTCATCCGTCTCAGCAGCCTGCAGGACATTCCTTAACTTTTTTGTATAAATTTATGTTTCTCCAAAACGTGTCTGAATCCTCTTATTGTTGAACTACTCACTACTTGTGCTGGAAGTCTAGTCCAATCAACTACTCTTTTGATAAAATAAAACTTTTTTCATATTTGTTTTGGTCTTGTTAGCTAGTTTGATGACATGTGTCCTTGTTCTTTAACTTGGCTTTATATTGAAAATACTGCCCTCTGGAATCTTAGTCACACCCTTGATGCGTTTAAAGGTTTCAGTCATGTCTTCCTTTTTTGTTCTTTCCTCCAGACTGTACATGTTAAGTTTCTGAAGTCTCTCTTAATATGTTTTATCCCTCATGCCATATTTAAAAAATATTTGGCCTGGGGTTCCCCTCAAAACCCATACCAGACCCAAAGGGCTTGGTATGGATGGAGGGGGGGACCCCATGCCGCTTTTTGATTATTTTTTAATTGCCAGAAATTTTTTTTTCACATTCAGCTGTCAGTGGGGAACCCCGCTAACAGCTGAATCATTAACGCATGGTTTTCACTACTAAAATACCGCATGACTTGATAAAATAACTCATGCAGTATTTTAGTAGCGTTTTAGTGAATGAAAAGTTTAAAAAAAAAAAAAACGCTGATGCGGTAAGATACATATTTACATAGTTAGTCTGGCTGAAGAAAGACAAAAGTCCATCCAGTTCAACCATTAAAAAAAAAGTTATAGTCCTATACCCATAGTTGATCTAGAGGAAGCAAAAAACCCAGCAAAGCCTGATCCAATTTGCTCCTGCAGGGAAAACAATTCCTTCCTGATCCCCTGAGAGGCAATCGGATATTTCCTGGATCAACTTTACCTATGAATGTTAGTATCCAGTTATATTCTGTGTATCTAAGAAAGAATCCAGGCATTTTTTAAAGTAATCCACTGAGCTGGCCAGAACCAACTCTTGAGGGAGTCTATTCCACATTTTCACAGCTCTTGCTGTGAAGAAACCTTTCCGTGTTTGGAGATTACATTTCTTTTCCTCCAGATGTAAAGAGTGCCCCCTTGTCCTCTGTGATGACCTCAGGGTGAATAGCTCTACACCGAGTTCACTATATGAACCACTGATGTATTTATACATGTTGATCATATCCCCCTTAATCTCCTCTTCTCAAGAGAGAATACATTCAGTTCCTCTAATCTTTCCTCATAGTTGAGCTCCTCTATGCCTCTTGTCAGTTTGGTTGCCCTTCTCTGCACTTTCTCCAGTTCCCCAATGTTCTTTTTATGAATCGGTGCCCAAACCTGAACTGCATATTCCAGATGAGGTATGTACCGCTTAGTGAATTGTGCCTTATATGTGAAAAATCAAAACAAAACAAAACAGGAGCCATAAAAAGCTGGATAGGTTTAACTAGAGAAGTACTGTGTAATTTTGTTTTACGGCCTTTCTTATTTGTGTTAAAGGATATTTTTATTGTATAGCCTTGGTGCCAGGTTTTAAAATGAGGGTATTCTCATTTTAACCCTTAAAGCTTAACTCCAGGCAAATATAAAAAAAAAAAATTAATGCAGTTATGTAATCATTGACAAAACTTTAAATGTATTTTTAAAGGCAAGCAGTGTAAGAATCTAAAATTGACTTAGTATAATTCCCTTGCACCCATGCAGAGTTCAAATAGGAGAACAAAGAAGCAACACAAGAAACCAAGAAAATCATTGTTCTGTAATGCAAGTAACATGCCGATAAGAGATCAGTGCGTTGCTTCTTCTTTCACTGTTCAGTCACAGGCTGGGGAGAAACGAGACCCGCAAGTGTTACCAAAACATAGCAGAAGAAATCAGGTCCCTGCTTTGCAAAATCAGACTGTGATGAGTTATGTATTTATCAGGATTGGACATTCAGAAATAAAAAATCCTGTGGCAAATAAACAGCTCTCATATATGTATTTCCTCTCTGTATTTGCCTGGGGCTCAGCTTGACGTGACCCCATTCCATTGCTAAACTATAACTATTGTCTTGGCAGTTTGGGATAAATTAGAAGACATACCTACAGTATAGCATAGCTTAGTTTATTTTCCTGTTTATACCATTGGATGCTCCTTAGAGCTTGAGATAGCGAAAAAAAATAAAATATATTTCTATTGAGAGGAGCAGGTAGACTGCAATTTTTGTTTTTTCCGAAAACATTAGTCACCTGCTTATCATGCTGATTCAATAGTGAATTCTGATGAATGGTGAATGCTGATTCAAGTGCTTTCAGACTTGACCTGGAACAATTATGCAGATCAGAAAGGTTGACTTCACTTTGACTTCAATTTCTGTCTTCTTAGGACAGGTTTTCACATACTTGTAACACACAGCTGTGAAAAAAGCTATTTCCTAGAACAGCCGTAAAGCATAACAGTAGGTATCTACAAGAAGTGGTTCTTGAGGTAATCTTAGACAGTTATTAGAATGACATGTTTTTAACCACTTCAAGTCTGGACACTTTCACCCCCCTTCCAGTCCAGGCCAATTTTCAGCTTTCAGTGCTATCACACTTTGAATGACAATTGCACAGTCATGCAACACTGTACCCATATGAATTTTTTAGCATTTTTTTTAGACAGATACAACTTTATTTTGGTGGTATTTATTCACCACTGGGGTTTTTAATTTTTTTGCTATATAAATGAAAAAGTTCAAAACATTTTGAAAAAAAAAAGTGTTTTTTTTTATAAAGTTTTGAAAATAAATAATCTTTCTGCATAAATCTTGGCCAAAATGTATTCAGCTATCTTTTTAGTAAAAAAAAAATAAAAATAACTCAAATTAGTTTATAACCATTTACATTTTTATTTAATTTTTTTTTGTCAGGAAGTGACATCTTGTTTACTACTGTTCATGTGATCCCTGATTGGGCAATCAGTGATCACATGAATCGGGACCTCACACAGAGGTCCCGTACAGTGATCGGTGTTCCACCAGGGGCGGACTGACCATTCGAGCACTCGGGGCACCACCCGAGGGCCCAGGGTCAGTAGAGGGCCCCATGAAATGCCCCTGGCACCTTTTTTATAGGCTTTTTGGGTGTGCTTTGAGTGTGGGCGAGGACACAGGGGCCCCATGATTCCCTATTGCCCAGGGGGGCCCCATGAGTTGTCAGTTCGCCCCTGTGTTCCACTGTGTCCTCTGGACACAGTGGACACCAGATCATGTGGCAGCACGCTCCCTAGGAGGTCACGCAGGCAGTTAATGTGGGGGCCGTTTATAAAAGGCAATCCGCTTCAGCACTGCTCCTGTCTGACCATTTAAGTACATGGACCGGATGGGAAGTAGTTAAAAAATACTGAACCAGGAAGTTAACAGCTTTCAAAGTATTTTTGTTGCTTTCTGGGTATCATCTGGGGTTGGTGTAAAGGAAAAATATTTGTTTACACAAATGGAACACAATGGATATGCCTTTTTATCCTAAACAACTAAGTATAAGATGGTCGACCAGGGGTTAAGGTCCTAAATAAATTCAGGAATATTCTAGAAGTACAAAGTCAGTTACTGGTGAATAAGTTAGACAACAGGTAGCTTAAACCAAACATTGATAAAGTAATTGAGATGGGCATTCATAGAAACTGCTGTGTCTAGAAGGGTCAGTCTGGGTTCTGAATTCATGTGGATAGACATAGAAGAATGATAGAGGCAGTAGTAATGTGTTTACTACTGGAATACAGTAGTATAATGTCTTCAGTGAAGATCGACAGCAACAAATATACAAAACAACTGCAGTGCCTACCTCTACCTAATGATAACAATTCATAACATGCATTGTCTGTGTAAAAAAAAAAAAACTCCTTATACATATAAAATCAACTTAATAAAATTATTTTAATTATTGTGCACTAATACTTCATGAATAGCCAAATTCATATGTGAAAAATGATCATACAAAATATGCAAAAATCAAACAACTAAAACATTTATACGTCAATAAATGGCCAAAAACAATATAACATGTTAAATCCACAATGGTAACATCAAATCAATCCATCAATCAATCATGCAAAAAAATTATTTTCTTTGAGTTCCTATTAAAATCCATGCCATGTAAACATCCCCTCAAATGAATAAAATGCTTCAGTGCTCTTCCACACAGGACATGTGCCAATACTTTGCATATACACACTTATGTGGTACCACACACCATACACATTGTTCAATCTGTAGTGATGAGTGTCTTGGATCCCTTAACCCCTTCACGCCTCAAGGTAAAACAAATCTTAATGCCTAAGCACAATTTTGCAACTTTGACATGCGTTAGTAAAACCGAACCTATCATCACTACAAAGCTCCTATGCCTTCAATGAATATTGCACACACTTACCGTGCTGCCCTCTACTGATGTATGTTAATTATTCCACATAACACAAAATACATAAATGTATGTGATTAGATACAATCTCCACTCCAACTATATGAATGAATTGAATTGTATAAATAAATAATATATGATCAAACGTGCTTAGTTTCCAAAAACGGTCTCCACTGGACTGTAATGAATATTAGTGCAGTTCAAAACAGAGCTTTGTGCAATCCACTCTCCAAAAGTAGGTGCTGGCATCGCGGTACGGTGCTCCCCTTCTTTACTCCCCCAGTCACCAACAGCAAATGGCAAATAGACTCTTCACTTTGCAAGAAACGTTACACTTTGAAAGAGAATTTTACCCAGAGCTTAGTGAATGAAGTAAAACTCTGATGACTTTCATTGTTCAATCATGTACAAGCAAAAAAAAAATGCTGTTTCTTCATTTTAACGCTGTTTTTTCGATTTTCGATTTTAAACTTCACGCCTGAAGGTAAAACAAATCTTAAAGCCTACATAAAATTTTACAACATTGACATGTGTTATTAAACTGTACATACCATCACAACTACTTTGTACATCCAGGTGAGTTATTCCTTGTTTTTTTTCAGGACAAATTGGGCTTTCATTTGGTGGTAAATGGTAATGGATATCTCCTGATTTAATTTTTATTATCAAAGAAAAACTGGCCCAAAATAGTAAAAAAACCCTTTTTTTTTAATTTAGCTGTGTGTTTCTTGTTACTACCATAACCTACCACCAAAGAACAACCCAAAATAAATTTTCCAGCTCTTGACGATCACAGCAATACCATATATGGGTGTTATTTGTTGTTTGTACTTGTTCTGCAGCCCAGAAACAATAGTGCGCATTTTGTTTTTTTGTTTTTTTTACCTAAAACACACTGACAATGATACCAATTTTTTTTTAAAAAAAAAAAATCTTGACCTTTGATCCTGATCTTGACCCAAACAATAACCCTGGCACTGAACTAGATCAAACCTTGATCTAGGTATTTTTCTTTATTTTTTGTTTTATATTTTAATATTTATTCATCTATTTTGTTTACAGTGGTTTTTTTTTTTCTATGCAAGGAGAGAGAGAGATACATTGTATCTTTCTCCCCCATTCAGAGAGAAAAAAAACAAGGGGAGCAGACTTCACAGTCACTGGTCACTGTGATAGCCAATCAGAGGCTAACACAGCGATCATGTGACTCGGAATCAGATCGTTAGAACGGGACCTAGGGCTCTCAATGACATCCCGCTCTTTGTGGGTTTTACAATCAACTCAGTTTTGTTCACTGTTTTCCACATCTTTTTCAAAAGGATGAGTTGTTTTACATTAGTGAGATAAATATTGCTCACTGTATATTTCACATCATTGATCTCACAGACCAAGATGATGAATCTGCCAGAGTCATCAGTTATTGAAGTAATGTGTTAGAAAGCCACCAAGTCTTTGATTGCAATCAGAACTCCCTTTTTTGACAACAGATTGGACATATAGATATTGAGAAAATATCTACAAGAGCACTTAGGAAAATTCTGATTGTCAAAATGGGTCTCTTGTAGGAACAATACATCACAACACTTACGTACTTCCCTTCAGACCAATTATCTCTCAATCAGGCTATGAAGCATTTTACAGTCACGGAGAAGGCTTTAAAATTCATAATGAATATTGAAGCAATGCAGAAAGTACAGTAGTCTCCCAGCAAGAGGAAAGACCATTTGTGTAGAGGTAAGAAGTAGCTTTTGTACTTTGAGAAAGCTTCAAAACTGTTGCTGTAGGTTGATCGGGTAGCTGGAAAATACACTGGAAAAGTAAAAATACATATTGAAGAAGTTCTTCAGCTTTCCCAACCGCCCACACTCCTTTCTTTTGTGGGACACCCTTTTTGCTTTCCTGAGGTTGGGGAGAAAGTGTCCACTGTTGTGGGGTGTTCAGTGCCCTTGTTGTGTACTTTGGTGAGCTGAGGCAATACAGACTCATGCGACCATCTCCACTGGCAGCCACCCATTTCCCTGACAATCAGCTTAGTTTTTAGGTCAAGAAAGGGACTCTATGGAAAATAATACCATTGCTTCCTTTTTTTATTTACTTCAGAATACTTTGGTTCCCAGGCCAGTTTTCCACTAACAGCAAATTGAACTAGCGGACGTTCACTACATGTTTGGACAAATAACTATTATTATTAATTTGGAAAAACCTCAACATGAAGAAAGACATAAATTAAATCTATTTAAGCTCATGCTTTTTTTAACCTAACTGGTCCTTGGAGTACTGTAAATGGAAGTCAGCACAGCTTTGCTTATTTACTAAAATAAATTGAAATTAAACTTTTCAAAGTGAACTTGCTTTACACCTTTGGTAGATCAGCCACTGTGTATTGGCAGGCTCATGGGACTGTATGGGGAGCGGTCCAGAATTTATTGAAGCCTTCAGCCCTGTAGTCTTAGAGGCTACAACACCTGGCCAGGGTGATAACGCTGCATTTAAATTTCCCTGCAAAAGAGCTAGAGTTGTCATACTTTCTGCAGAAGTTTCTCTCACTGTCATGATCATCTGACATCCAATCCAAAATTAAAAGGCTAATTATTGTTTTCAAATTTGAACTCTTATTCCTTGAAATAATATGTTATTTTCTTGAAATCTGCTTATACTGTAGTTCTGCTTTTAATACTTTTAATATTAGCAATACTTGAAAGATTAAAGCAACAATCACCTATATTTTTTCAATATTGCAGCAAAGATTTTTAAATTATGTAGACACAACATTTTTTGTTTTATTTTCTTAAGAGACGTGTGAGTGTTTTGTTTACCTTCAGTGATATGTTCAATAGCTAAGCATTAGTTTTAATTTTCTTCTCTTCAGATTGGCAAATGAACGGCCAGCATGAATCAGATTTTCATTATTTACTCAAAACAGAAAACTGTATAACAAAACTACAAATTTTCTAGTTTCTAATCTATCTTAGCCCTAAGGCCACATTTTGGTACTGATAAATATATCATATGGTCCAGAACAAGGAAAAAAGAATATTTTTCAAGTGCATTAATAAAAAAAAATACTTGCCTGATCTCAACAATTTAGCTTCTTTTAAACCTTTCTGCAATACACTGCCTAGAATTTTAGCGCTATATCCAGGGACATACCTGCAAGTCACTGGGCCCCAAAGAAACATTTCATGAGGCTGAATTGCAGACAGATTATTAAGATTTCTTTGCTGCATAGGGCATTTTTTTGGGTGGCTTTTGTTGGTGGATGCCTATATTAGAATCCTAATAAAAGTCCTCTTTAGCAATGGTGGCCAATTGCCCACATTGTAGATCAAATAACAGTCCCCTTTACCATATTTTGATACTGGTGGCCAGTGACTTATATAGTCTCTGGATTATAGCCATGAATATTGGTGGCCAGTTACTGATATAAGTACCTTTTTGGCAGAGATGCTAGAATAAATCAAAATGCCATGCAATTTTATATTTCTTCTCAGCACAGTTCTCACAGCTAAAAACGTACATCATGTGCACATGCTCTTCACATATTTTCCATGTTGGGCAGCTAGATTTAAACTGACTTGGTCACGTGGATCAGAATGACAGAAAAATGACAGAAAAATGAAAACTTCCCCATTCTTATCTAAAACAAAATACAAATTGACTAGGATTTTTCTTTAAAGTGGAACTGGAATTTTTTTTAAATTTTTGATAAAGTAAGGGAGGGTTATAATTAGAGATGAGCGAAGTATTCAAAGATTCGATTCGACTGATTCGGCGAATTCGTGGAAAAATTTTGATTCGAGTCGAATATATTCGCTGTGAATTTAACTTAAAAAAGGGTGTTTCTAGGCTTCAGAGAGACTTAATATTAGTGCTGAACACTGTACCTTTAATTCAAATGCCCTTGGAGTCTGCTGGGGAAGAGAAATAATACTGTCAGGCAGTATGACATGCAGATGAGTGCCGTCGATCTTAGAATCACCGCACACTTCACTCATTTGGGCAGTCACGGGGCCAAAACCAGAGTGTGGAGCCACAGTGTGGCGGTGGAGGCAGCAGCAATGGGAGGCCATACAGCACCCTATGACAAAAATGGAAACCACCAGCAGTGTGAGGAGACCTGAAAGTGGCACATGGCAGAGTGTGGCGATAGAGACAGCAGCAATGGGAGGCCGTACAGGGACCCATGACACACTCTGGACCTGGCAGCAGCATGAGGAGGCGGTACAGGGGCCCATGGCAGATTACGGGCCTGGCAGCAGCATGAGGAGTCGGTACGGGGCCCATGGCAGATTACGGGCCTGGCAGCAGCAATGGGAGGCCGTACAGGGACCCATGACACACTCTGGACCTGGCAGCAGCATGGGGAGGCGGTACAGGGGCCCATGACAGATTACGGGCCTGGCAGCAGCATGAGGAGTCGGTACGGGGGCCCATGACACACTCTGGACCTGGCAGCAGCATGAGGAGGCGGTACAGGGGCTCATGACAGATTACGAGCCTGGCAGCAGCAACTTGGACAGGAGGACGTTCAGCTTCTGCACCGTCTGGTGCGTGCTCGCAAACTGTTGTCTCTTGGAAACGGATTCCAAGAAAGACTGCTGACGGAATCCGTGAAGAGGAGTAGCAGGAGAAGGAGCATCTGAACGAGCGGAATATGCCAACAAGCGACAACAGGGGCCCATGACAGATTACGGGCCTGGCAGCAGCATGAGGAGTCGGTACGGGGGCCCATGGCAGATTAGGGGCCTGGCAGCAGCTATGGGAGGCCCGTAATCTGCCAGCACCCTATGACAAAAAATGGAACCCACCAGCAGTGTGAGGAGACCTGAAAGTGGCACATGGCAGAGTGTGGCGATGGAGACAGCAGCAATGGGAGGCCGTACAGGGACCCATGAGAGACTCTGGACCTGGCAGCAGCATGAGGAGGCGGTATAGGGGCCCATGGCAGATTAGGGGCCTGGCAGCAGCTATGGGAGGCCCGTAATCTGCCAGCACCCTATGACAAAAAATGGAATACACCAGCAGTGTGAGGAGACCTGAAAGTGGCACATGGCAGAGTGTGGCGATGGAGACAGCAGCAATGGGAGCCCGTACAGGGACCCATGAGAGACTCTGGACTTGGCAGCAGCATGAGGAGGCGGTATAGGGGCCCATGGCAGATTAGGGGCCTGGCAGCAGCTATGGGAGGCCCATAATCTGCCAGCACCCTATGACAAAAAATGTAACACACCAGCAGTGTGAGGAGACCTGAAAGTGGCACATGTTTGGGGCATGATTCATGGCGGATTTAGTCAGTTGTGTCAGGAACTGGTGGTTTGAAATCCAGACTAATCCACGCCTGATTCATTTTCACAAACGTCAGTCTCTCCACACTTGGGTGGACAGTCGTGTCCTCCGCGGAGTTACAATACCTCCTGCCGCACTAAACACGCGCTCCGATGCCACGCTACTGGCCGGGCATGACAGCCTTTCAAGGGCAAATTCAGCTAGTTGGGGCCAAAGGTCAAGTTTCGTTGCCCAGTAGTCAAGGGGATTGTCTACCTCGGTTGGCAGGGTGCTGTCCAAGTAGGCCTAAGCCTGTTGTTTGAGGTCCTGCTCCAGGTCCACCTGATGCTGCTGCTGCTGCTGCGGCTGGTTAGTAGTTTCCTCACTGCGCTGGTGAAGAAAGCTACTCATCATCGACTGCAGACTGAGGCAGCCGCTGCTGGTGGAGCTGCCACTGCTCCTACCACCCCACCCCTCCCCTGCTGCCATGGCAGTGGAACGCGAGCGCACAGGGCCCACAGTGTCTGAGGATGGACGTTGGCGCAGACAGGCAGAGACCAGCTGACTACATAGGTGGTTTTTATAGTACGTTATTTTGGCCTCCCTCTCAGCAGGTGTGAAAAAAGGCCACCATTTTTGAACGGTAGCGAGGGTCCAACAAGGTGGACAGCCAAAAGTCATCCCTCTGTCTGATGGTTATTATTCGGCTGTCGCTACGCAAGCAACCGAGCATGCTATGGGCCATTTGTGCCAAGGAATGCGAGGGACTCCCTGCCTCCATCTCCACAGCATACTGCCACGGTGCGTCTGGGTCCTCTGTCTCCTC